AAAAAAAAAAAAAAGATTTACAGCCTTAGAAACCATATGGGGCAGTTCTACTTTGTCCTACAGGGTTGCTATAAGTTGGAATTGACTTGATGGCAATGAGTTTGATGTAAATTTCATTGGCATTTCTGTTTTGGGTAATAAAAAACTTTTGGAAATAGTAGTGATAGTTGCACATGGTAAATTTAATTAATGTCACTAAATTGTACACTTAAAAAATGGTCAAAACTGGCAAAATTCACTCACACTCACTCACTGCCACTGAGTTGATTCCAACTCATACCAACCCCCACTGGGTTTCCAAGGCTGTAAATCTTTATGGAAGTAGACTGCCTCATCTTCCTGTGGAACAGCTGGTGAGTTTGAGCTGCTGACCTTCTGGTTAGCAGCCAAATACCTTACCCACTACACCATAAGATATATACACATATACATACATATACAAACAATAAAATATTTCTTAAGTAATGAACTACACAACTTTCATTTTCAAGTAGCACCCATTTATGCCCAGATACCAGATGACAAATCAGTTTCATCTCCTTTGACAATTCCATTAGAATGATAACAGGTGTCTAATGCTGTTTTTAAAAGATTATCATCAGAGCTCAGTGGGAAAGAGTGCCTTGATCATTTAGCTCCATCTGCCGTGGGCTTGATGGGACTCTTTCTTTTAAATATAGCCAAATTCACTCATTAAACATCCATCAAAAGCCTACCATGGATCAGACTACATGTTGAGGAATAGAAATACAAAGATGTGCAAGAGAGATAAGAAACTGTGTTAATCATCAGCTAATATTATCTAGTTAATTATATAAATATCCGTAAGTTTAATCACTTTTCAAATCATTACCTTAATATGAATAATTTTCTTATTAAAAATTAATTGATTGTTATTCCATCTCCGAAAGTCACGTGAGTATGCCCAAATGTTCCATAGAAAAACATTACTGCTATTTGGTGTCAATTCTGAATTTTAGGCACAATACTATGTAGTTCCCAACTGTTTGTCTCTGATAAACTTATGAGCAAAATCTTCCTACCAAAGTTTTTCTTATTCTGTAAATCTAAAAATTCTTGTAATTCCTAGATAACTATTCCTACCACAGAAAGATAGCCCAACTTTGGAGCAAACAGCTAGAGTTGTCACAAGTTAGTAAGAGGTAAGACTGATGGTGACCTCTTGGTCTGCTGAGCTGACCCATGAAGTATAAATGTCATCATACCTCTCCACTGACTTAATGCATCCTCACAGCATTTAAGAATTCAGAGCCTGGAGCTCATCATTACGAGGGAAGCCCCATCTCTGTTCTGCGATTCCCACAAAGTACTTTTTCAACTACCAGGAGGAGAGCCACCAACTATATAACCCTCACCTCCTCTGGAACTTGACTAATTCTCTTTCTCCCTACCCTATTTCAATATATACAGCATATAGACACAGGGAGT